CCCGTCCTCTTCCTGGTACTCAGCCGCCTCCTGCTCCTGCTCCTCATCATGCCCTGCCAGCAGCGCCGCAAGGATCTCTCCCATGTGCTTGCTCTCAGCAGAGCCCACCGCAGGCCCGTCGCCGCGCCCGCCGCGGCCCCTGCCCCTGCCGCGGCCCCTGCCGCCGCCTCCCTCAGTGGTCACAGTCACGCCCTCCAGCACCTCCTTGTCCAGGCGCAGCTTGCGCTGCGCGATCTGGTGGATGTTGTTGTCCACGGTGCCTGCCAGCACCATGCGGTGCACCGTCACGGGCCGCGTCTGGCCCAGGCGGTGGCAGCGGTCCTCAGCCTGGCGGTCCACCTGCGCAGCAGCAGCAGCAGCAGCGCAGCAGCGGCAGCAGCAAGGATGAGCGGAGTTCCAACAGCCTGCACACAGACCGTGCTAATAGCTGCGCAGGCGGCGCTGCAAGGCATCGTACACAGTGCCATGCACACAAATCAACAGCAGATGCACACACACGTGTGCCCCACGTCGCCATGCAAACCTCCCGCCCCTTCACGGCATGCAAACCAGCAACACTCTTTTCGGACTTCTTCCATTATGTACAGCTGCCCACCTGCGGGTTGAAGTCCACGTCGTGCAGGATGACCGTGTCTGCGCCCGTCAGGTTGAGGCCCTGGCCGCCGGCGCGCGTGGACAGCAGAAAGGCAAAAACGCCGCCGTCCGGGTCGTTGAAGGAATCCACGATGGACAGGCGGTCAGCCACCTGGTGGCAGCAGCAGCAGCAGCGGCGGCGGCGGCAGCAGCAGCACACGAAGGGAGGTTGCAGCAACCACTACGGAAGCAATGCATGCATCAGACACTCACTTCCAACCAGAAGCGCACACATTGCAGCACCTGCCGCCTTCCCGCCTGCAGCCCCCAAAGCCCCATCACCATAACCAACAGCCCACCACAACCAACAGCCCACACACTGCGCCGTCCAGGCAGGTCGACCGCCGCCAAAACCAACATCACAACAACAACACCCCACTCACCGCGGTGCTGCCGTCCAGGCGCACGTAGGTCAGCCCGCGCTCGTGCAGGAACCACTCCAGGATGTCCAGCACGGTGGTCCACTGGCTGAAGATGAGCGGCCTGCTGCCTGCTGCCCTCAGGTCGTTGAGCAGCTTGTCCAGCGCCACCAGCTTGCCGCTGGCCATGAGGCAGGTGGGCGGCAGCAGGTGCTGGCCCAGCAGCGCGGGGTAGGTGTGGCAGAAGTTGTGCAGCTGGAAGTCGTTGTAGCCTGCGGGAGTGTGTGGACAAATGGGGGAGGGTGGGAGGGGAAATTGGGTTAAGGTGAGTGGAGGGACAAGGCAGGAGGCGTTACAGGGTGAGATGCAGCAATGAGCAGTCAGCAAGTGGCAGCTGAGGAGACGCTGCAGGCAAGGCTTGCACGAGGGTGTACTGTAGTGATTCTCAGCAGCAGCAGCAGCAGCAGCAGCAGCAGCAGCAGCAGCAGGATCCGATCTAGAGTAGCAGGGATGGCGCAACTGCTGTGAGTGTGCAAGCTACCATCATGACGGCAAACCACGCGCCAGCACTTGCTGCAACTGCCAGGACAGCAGCAGCAACACAGCAGCAGCAGCAGCAGCAGCAGGGCGCACCTGAGATCTCCTGCAGCACGCGCGGCACGGTGCAGTTGCCGCCGAAGAGCTTGTTGGCGCTGGCCACCTCTGCAATCTCCTTGACCTTGTCGTCATTGAAGTGGTGCCGCACCAGCAGCGGGTGCTGGCAGATCTTGCGCAGGTGCGTGAAGATGTTGTTAATGCGCTGGCTGCCCAGCTTGCTGACCATCTGCGCGGCGTCGTCCTTGTTCTTGATGGCCAGCGGCATGCGGCGCGCGCTGCTGGCCACAGAGCCCTCGCGGTTGCTGCCGCTGCCGTTGGGGCCTGCGGCAGCGGGGAGAAGCCGGGGAACGGAGGTAGCAGCAGCAGCAGGGCAGCCACTTCAGCACGGCCGCTACACATCGCTAACAGCGAAACACATGACATCAAGCACAGCACACATGCAATAATAGCTCAAGGTTTCCGTGATGCCTCTGCATCCTGCGGCTCAGCTGCCTTGCGTCACCCCAACACAGCTGCACAGCAGCAGCGCAACAAGCAGCGCACACCACACAGCAATCCACCACCTGCCATCAACCGTACCCCTGCATCCCCCCAAAACACGCACCGCTGGTGCCGGCCGTGTCTGCCTGGTCGCCTGGCCCCGGCGTCGCCTCGCTGCCGGCCCTGCTGCCCGGCCCTGACAGCGTAGACATGGCCTGTGTGCCGCCCTCACTCATGCTTGGCCCGCTGCTCATGCCCAGCCCCTCAAGCCCCAGGCCATCCATAATGCCAATCGCCGGCTCCTCGTTCGGCTTCTTCTTGGCAGGCCTGCCGCGCTTGCGCTTCGTGATGGGGATGGGCGCCAGCTCGCCACCCTGCTCGTTGAAGTACTTGGTGTTGAGGTTGCGCGCGCGCGCGTTGCGGCCCGCCGCGCTGCCGGCGGCCGCGTTGGGCAGGTTGGCGGCCTCTACCGCTGCCATGACCTCGTCGCGCACCTTCTGCACGGCGGCCTTGTACAGCGAGCTCTGCTCGGGCGTCATGGCCACCTACGGAGCCACGGCAGCAGCAGCAGCAGCAGCAGCAGCGGCAGAGGATTTGCTGTCGAGTTCAGCAATCACATCCCTTGCCTCAGCTGGCCGATGAGGTGCACATGCGTGCACGCATACAAAGGTACAGCGTGGCGGATAAAGGCGTGTGCAGCACCTCTGCCCTTCCTGCGCCATTGCGTGGATTTTGATCCGCCCTCAAGCTGCAGGCAGCAGCAGCAGCAGCAGCAGCACGCGCCGCCCACCTCGTGCATCTTGTGGCTCTTGGTGACCATCTGCTCCGCCAGCTCGCTCTTCAGGCGGCGCAGCACAAAGGGCGCCAGCAGGCCGCGCATGCGCTGGATGAGGCGCTGCTCCGCCAGCGCGTCGTTGTTGGCGCGCTGCAGCAGCTCCTCTGCGGGGGGGGGGGGGGGGGGGGGGGCGGCATGCGCACGTGAAGCGGCAGGCAAACAGGGGCGGGCAGCAGCAGCAGCACACAACGTTGTAACCAACCACATCACACATGCCCGAGTGAAAAGGAGCCACGGAACCCGCACACCCAGCAGACAGGTGTGTGCCTTGCAGGTAGCACAGCCTCAGGAACCTGACGCAGGATAATGCAGCAGCATCCAGCGCCAGGCAGCACTGCCAGCAGCGGCAGTAAGCCACTCACCGAAGCCTCCCTCCGCAGAATCGTCCGCCTCCTTGAACAGCGTGGGCAGCAGGAAGCTCAGCAGGTTGTGCAGCTCCCCAAGGTCGTTCTGCAGCGGAGTGCCGGTCAGCATCACGCGCCCGCGGCAGCCCGCAGCCAGCTTGCGCAGGCGCCTGCTGCGCTGGCTGGCCGCATTCTTGAGCGCGTGCGCCTCGTCCAGCAGCATCTGGCTCCACTTCCACTTGCGCAGGAACGCGCGGTCAGCGCTGCGGGCGGAGGGAAGGGGTGTGTGGCAGCGCAGCCAGGCATGTGAGCGGGCAGCTGACACAGGCACGAGTGCTGCAAGCTGTGTGCCAGGGAGCACTGGGGGCGATAATGGGCAGCAACTGGCAGCAACAGTGCGCACACCATGCGCGACACGGCACGGGCCCAGCAGTAGCTGCACTCGCACTACAACAGCCAGCTCGCACTACAACAGCCAGCACACACAAGAGCAGGAGTCACCAACTCATCACTGTTGTGGGCGCTGCAGCAGTGACTGCTCACGCGAGCGCGCAGGCCCCGCCACTGCACATAACACCGGGATGCGCGCACCTGTTGCTGGCGCCCACGCGCTCGAACAGCGTGTAGGTGGTGAGCATCACGTCAAACGCGCCCTTGCCGGAAGCAGCATCAGCCAGGTCCTCATAGCCGTGGTCGTGGAAGGGCTGCTCGCCAAACTCCTCCTGCGCGTAGCGGTTGTCGTCCTCGTCCTCTGCAGACAACACAGCGCGCCGATGCGCAGGGCGCGGCACACTGTCAGCAACAGCTCTGACTTCCTGCTGCAGCACACCTAAACAAATATTTGATTATATTTGTTGATTCTGAAAGCTGCTGCTGCTGCGGCGGCGCGTGCTCAGCCATTGCATCGTGCCGGCAGCTCACCGGATGAGCCGCTCTCCTCGGCTGTGTCTGCCACCTCGCCAGGCCTGATCCAGCCTGGGGGCGGCTCAGCAAGCGTGCCCTTGTCCAGCTCAGCAGCCACCTGCAGCAGCAGCAGCAGCAGCAGCAGCAAACCCAACGATCAGCCCGTGTGATTGCGCGAAGCCTGCCACCACTGCCCTTGTAACCACTGATATCAGCGGAGCCACGTGCAACGCAGCCCCCCCACCCTTAGCCACCACCGCCACAGCTGCTCATCATCAGTACGGAGCGCGCTTGCAGACAAACACACTCTGCCCCATCCCAATAGTGCTCAGCTGCGTTCGTCAGCGCATACCGCACATACCAACGCAACCGCGGCCCAGCCTAGGTCAGCATCCACCAGCGTATCGCCACCCATCCACGCCCCACGCGTACTCACATCGTAGCGCCACTTCTCCAGTTGGTTGCGCACCATCTCCTTGTGCGCACCGTGGTACGTGACCACGCGCAGCCGCGGGCACCATAGCGCCAGCTCACGCTCCCAGTTCTCCAGCAGCGACGCAGGCGCCACCACCAGGTGCGGGCCCCTGGCAGCAGCAAAAGCAGCAGCAGCGCAAACGGTTGATGGACAGGGACAACCGCACTCTTTGTGAGCAAAAGCCGCGCAGGCGCAACCGAAGCAGCTGGACTAGCATGCAGAGCTGCAGGGCAGCCCACCCGGGTGACTTTGTAATCATCGCCAATAAGTGACATGCTGACGTGGCGCACAGTGAGCCGCCGTAGTAACACATGCTGGGGGCGCAGACCTACATGGCTGTCATCACATCACACGGCCACACGCTGCCACCTGATGCCGAACTGATCCTGGCTGGTGCTGGGTGCGGGCTTCAAACCCGTAGCGGCCGGGAGGCCGAGTGGTTCGATTCCACCTGATCGGCGGGCTTTTGCTGTTGCTGCTGCTGCGAAACCCCAATCACCACCTAGCATTCTTCAGCAAACCCACACACATGTCTGCCCGTAGGATGCAACCATACACTCTCAATGCACACACCAAGGGCCTGAACATAACACATGCAGCTGCAGCACCCAGCCCTGCCAAGCATAGCCCGCCACCGCCCCGCTCACATGTCGTTCTCAAACTCCGACAGCAGCCCCAGGAAGCAGATCGCCTGCGCCGTCTTGCCCAGGCCCATCTCGTCCGCCAAGATGGCGCCGCCCACCTGCTGCCGGTACAGCAGCAGCAGGAAGTTGATGCCCACCAGCTGGTAGGGCTTCAGGTGGTCAGCCAGTGCGCTGCAGGCTGCCTCCAGGCGCGGGCCGCGCTCAACGAGCTTAAGCGAATTGCCAGACAGGCCGTCGTGGCCGGCCGCGTCGATGACCTGGTCGCCCTCGCCGCCCAGCGCTTTGCGCAGGTTGGCGGAGATCTGCGTGCGTGAGTGTGGAGCCACAGTGTGCATTTGCGTCAGTGGCAGAAGAGGGAGAGCAGGGGCAAGAGAGGGTGCTGAGCAGTGCAGTAGAGGCTGCTGCGTTGCACACAGCGTGACAAGGCGCGTGCGACACACCCACCCCAGCAATCGCACCATTGTGTCCATCTGCTGCGCCTGGGTGCTGTTCCATCAACAATGCACAAAATTTTGTGCGGGTCAGGCCCAGCACGCGCTGCGCTCAATGCTGCAGCGCCACCCTTGAAGACGCCCTGCTGCTCCTACCGCATGCCATGATCAGCGCTCGACTCCACTCCCCAAATTCAAAAACCCATGCAGTTGTATAACCCATTCGGTTCAACCACCACCCCACTCACCGCCTCGCACTTGCTCAGCAGCTGGTCTGGGTCATCGTCCTGGTCAGCCTTGTTGAGGCTGCCGCTGGAGCCGGGCCTTGCCCCACCCAGCGGGTAGCGCTGGTAGAAGCTGTTGGCTGCTGCTGCTACTGGCGCCTGGCCGCCGCTGCCCGCGCTGAGGCTGCCATAGTTGCCCAGCGCTGCGCCGCGCGTGACCATGCCGTGAGAGGCTTGCGGCGCTGCGCCGCCACCGCCGCCCTGGAACTTGGCGCGCACGAGCTGCTCCAGATATCCTGCGTGCTTGTGGCCTGTGGTGAGGCGCGCAGGGCCCTGCTGCGCGCTGCTGCTGTTGAGCGGCGGGCGGCCGCCGGCGCCGTACGTGCCGCCGTACCCCCTGTCCAGGCGCTGCAGGCGCATGCCGTTGTTCTGCTGCATTGCGCCGGCGCCGTAGCCACCCTGCGGCGGCATCAGCATGTTCTGCTGCAGGCTGTTGATGGGCACGTCGCCATACTCTGCGCCGGGCATGAGCCCCTGCTGCTGCTGCATCTGCTGCTGCCGCGCCTGCTCGTACACCTGGCTGAGGTCTGTGCCCTCCACCATGCGGTTGCCGCCGCCGTTGCTGCCGCCTGCATTCCAGTTGGCCTGGCCCAGCGCTTGCAGCTGGTTGCTGCTGCCGGACGTGTGTGGTGCAGGGCCTCCTGCAAGCAGGTCCTCCATGCTGCCTCCTGGCGTGGCTCCCGCGCTGCCGTCGTGCATGCGCTGCCGCTTCATGTTGCGGAATGCAGCATCTGGATCGTCCACGGCGCCCGCCGCAGCAGCGGCAGGATCGCCGCCTGTGAGCCCCGCCATGTGCGCGAGTGCAGCTGCCTGGCTGCTGTCTACGTTGCCCCAGTTCAGGACAGGCTGTTGCATGGCAGACTGCTGCGGCATACCCCCAGGCATGCCGTATGCTGCTGCTGCCGCGGCTGCTGCTGCTGCCGCTGCACCATCCCCTGATCCCCTGTTATACTGAAACTGAGAGACAAGATCACCAAAAGGGTTCTGCTGCTGCATGCCATCTCCTGCGGCCTGGCCTGCGGCCGCTGCTAGGAGTTGGTTGACAGGCACAGAGCCGGGCTGCTCATCGTCAATGATACCCTCCATGCTGGGCAGTCAGCAGCCTGCAACAGAAATAACGGGAGGTATTGTAGGCAAACAAGCAGCGACCGTGGCCTCTGATATACAGTGCAAAGCGCAGCATAGGATGCTGTAAAGGAGAAGCAGCAGGAGACAGGTGGATACCAACCAACACCACAGAGCGGTGGGCAGCGGGCTCGAGTCAACTTGCAGCTGCGCTAGATGCACTGTCTGGATTCCCATGAAGGTGCTGCAGCACTGTGATCGGGCACAAACAACCCGCGCTGTTCCTGGCGCGTACACTCATAGGCCCGCTGGCCTCCAAGGAAGCAAGGGCGCTGCCAGCATAAATTACGCATTTATTGCCAGGAGCAGCGTTGAAAAAGCATAGCAGCGCACACCACAGGCCTTCTGGAGGTAAGAAAAAGGGGATTTGAAGCGCACCTGTGCCTGCCCGCTGGTGGCCTCCTGCTGCTTTGTTTAATGCTCTGATGCCTTTGCGGCGACAGTATGGAACACTAGCTGTTAGACTCAATTCGAACAGGTGGAGTCCGGTCACTGCACTGGACAGTGCCAACAAAGAAGAGCCGAACGCGTGGAATCAGGCCCTTGCACTCTGAAGCAACCCTGTTCAATGACTTGGCTAATCGAACCACGTGATCTAGCATGGAAAGGGAGAGGTATGGCTGCCTTCATGCTCATCTGTCGAGTGTGGAGCTGTGTGTTATGTGTGTTATGTCTTTGTGGTGGGCCCTGCTTTCCTGCCCCAAGCACATGAACTTGGGCAAGAACAATTACTGATGCTAAAACATTTGCTGTAATCCAAGGCAAGGCTGCTGTTCTCGCCAGCAAAGGATCAGCAGGTAGTTCACGCTGTGGCACACTCGACAGCAGCTTGTCAACGCACGTGTGGCTCGGGAAGTGCTGCCATGACGAACTTTTGTAAGGGGGCGCGTGCATAATGCGCCTTGAGTTCAATGATGCCGTCAGAGTGGCCTGTACCACTGCTGTTGTACTGCAATGTGCAGCCCACCAGCACTGCATAACAAATTGCTGGCACTGAGCAGGAGCTATCAAGCACATTGCTTACTTCGAATGCAGTCGGTGGCAGGTGCAACTCAGTGGTACAGCCTGCCTGATCCTGATGCCCGCATGGAAAGCACTTGAGGCTTTGCAGAAGTGCAAAAATTTGCACTTGAGGCTTGCAATAGGACAACTTTATAGCTTGACGGCTTGAGAGTCTGTTTGGGGTCACGGTTGTGCCAATAGCTAACCAACTGATTGCTTTTCTGTTGCTGCTGCTGCTGTGACCCTTTCAGCTGCTAAGTTCAGCTGCTAAGTTGAGAAGCTGTTTCGCTGCTGCACAGCAGACTGTCACACCATTGCCCTACAGCCGCTGCAACCGTTGCATTGTGACACACACTGCTGCAGCATACAGTGCACACATTACTGCAGTTCCATCCCTGCTGCTGATGCTGTCACCCGACTGCCGGTGCGCTGCTTAGTATCACACCAAATGACCTGCTGCCTGTGGCCTTAGCATGCACTTTTCTGCTCTGCACAGAACCACATGAAGGTGATACTGCACATGCCTGCAATGCATGTGACCCTTTAAAGGCGCAAGTGAGGCGGCACAACATGGGGGGAACCTGTTACCATAAACTGCCGAGGGGCAGGCAATGGTCGCTGTTGCTTTGTGACATACAACCAAACAGCATGACAAGGATATGCACTTGCGTTGAGCATCCGCACACCCACAACAGCAGCACCAAGGCTACATGTGAGCCGCTGTTGCGGATCTGCTGTTGCAAGCGGCAAGGCACAAATGAAAAAGGCAGGAGCAACAACACGCAACCTGCACATACAGACTAACAACGCCCAGGCGCACATGGCTGCAGCCACGGGCGGCAAAGACATTCCAAAACGCACCGCAGCTCCGCCATAGCAGCCGCTGCGGCTAGGCGGGCGCTGCTGCTGACGCAGCTGCTTGCTGCTGGCCTGCTGCCATCAAGGCTGCTGCTGCCGGGCCTGCGGCTGATCCTACAACCAGTCCTGCTGCTAGCTTGCGCGGCCGCCTGCTTCCTGCAGCATAGCTGCGCGCGAGCTCCTGCTGCGGAGTGGCGTGAAAACACTGGCTAACTAAAGCACACTGAGGTCTGATTCAGGGAAATCAGATCTCCATTGTGCCCTGGCCGGTGAACTTCACCTGCAGCCGACAATACAGCATTGGCAGGTACAGCAGACAAAGCAGGAGATATGAGATATTAAGCTTTGCCAAAGCAAGTGCTTGGCCTGATCATGTTGTGGGCGACGCAAGCATACTGCTGCTGAGGTCATGGCATGCTGCCAGTGTGCAGGATAGCCAGCAACAACTCCAGCAGCACCAGATCCACATCAATGCTGCATGCAGCTCCATCTGAGCTCGCAGCTGCTGCCAACAAGAAGCTGATGTAGATGCCGTGTAGCTTTGCAGGAATGTGATGCGTCATGCTGTCCCTGCTGCTGTGCTGTACATGTGCTGTGCCATGCATGGAAGACCCTGCCATTGCCATGCCACAGCCCCCCTGCCCAACCTGCCAGCTCAAACCAGCAACCCGTTTCCGGGCCATTGCTGTCACAGCCATGCTGACCTGCCATGCCAGCATTGTCTCCCCAGCTCTACTGCTGCTGACTCGCCGCCTCTACTGCCACCGCCAGTGCTGCCGCTACTGCTGCTGCTGCGCACCTTGATGGGGTTGACGTTCTCGCCGATGCGGCGGAAGTTCTGGTTCACGCCCTGGCGGCCTGCGTTGACCTTCTCAGGGTACACGCCGTCCTTGGGGTGCAGGTACTGCACCTCACCGCTGGGGTACACCCTGTAGAAGCACGGGGTGAACTTGTACTTGGTGCGCAGCTGAGTGGTCAGAGCCAGGCACTGCTCCTTCCTGGCGAACTTGAGGAGGTTGGGGCCCTTGCGCATGATGGCTGCACCACCAGTGGGCATCTCAAAGATCTGCTCCTTGTTGCTCTCCCAGGTGATCACATAGAACTCCTCCACCTGCAA